AGGCGAGCGCGGCGCGAAGCGTGAACGAGCAGTGCGAAGTAGCACAGTGGGTGTAAAACGGCTATGGCGTGCGATGGCGTGTGTTGGAGATTTCGTGAAGGCAAGATAGGAGGGGGACGGGCAGTGGCAAGTCGTCGGTTGTGGCGGTGTGGAATGGGGATTGTGTCGAGGAGAAGGTGGGTGGGGTGAGCGGGGGCTTGATGGTGGGGGATTTCCTATACTAGCTTTTCTACTCCGTTTCTCCTTCGTCCTGATTTAGTGGCATCTGGTTCGTTGGGTAGGGACTAAACTTTCTGTGAGGTGGCGTCGACAACCTTGGCGTGATTACTCACAACGCAATAACATAGGGCAGTGATAGGGTTGTGATTGTGTCTTACCAAATCTCTTCTGGTAAGTGCGGCTTGCCAAGGGGCTATATTAGCACGGGCTATGGGGAGGCGAACGTGCTCCTCCCGCAAGAATAGGCAGGGGTTGAGTTTGGACTCTACAGCGGCGGGGCAGCTGGATCATGGGATCGCGAGAGTGGAGCGCTACGTGATGGATTGCATGAACAGAGATTTCAGGCATTTCAAGGCGACTTCACACAGCGACAGAATCTCCAGTAATTCTTGAGGCATGACCTAATTTTATTGTTTTTTTGTTCTTCATACGAGAACTTCTTAGAAGGTAATTCCTTGGATGGTAATTCTGATTTTTAGTTGATCTCAATCGGTAGTTCGTAATTTTTCTTGTTGATTTCGTGATCTATTTTTAGAAGCGTTATGGTTTCTCTTGTACACAATTAATATATATATATCGTCACAAGCGGTTGTGGGTCAAAATTTCTCAAAAACATTAATATATATATATCGTCACAAACAGAACTGCCCGGTAAACCGTAGGCAGAGAGAGAGAAGAGGACAACAAACGAGGGGCTGTGACAAACTGTATATGTATATATATATATGTATATATATATTGATTGGTGGGGGAGGGGTTCTGCACCCCCCCCTCCCCTCACACGCGCGCACACACACATTTTTGTGTATTCTTATCTTTTTTAAAATACCAAAAAATCAGCAGTTTGAAAAAACAAATATACGGGTTATAGGGTTATGGATAGGTTTGGAGCGTGGCTCTGTCTTATAGATAGACTATTCTAATTTCACTCTCGAATGAATTTTGTAAGACTTCTTGAATGAAATTTTCAGTTAATGAAATTTTCAGTTTTCCTGTTTAGTTGAGTGCTACCGGGGACGCTGCGTTTCGACTGGCATGCCCCGTCAGAGGAAAGTGTGTTCACATGGTGGTTTGCGAAGTGACGGGAGCAACGGGAGGGCGGTAACGCCATGTCGATGATGGTGGGTGGTAACTATGGCTGCCCCATGATAGTGCTCGGTGGGCGCTATCTAGATTTCTTCATCATGGGCAGACTAACGCATGGAATGGGAGAGCTCGCTTGGTGACCGGTTGAGGGAGGAAGAGTACTGTGAGGAGGAAGGTGTGGGAAGAGAAGGTGAGGATGCCGCAA